GTGCTTAGGGCTCAGTGCCCAGTTACAAGGCAGAGTCCATTGTGGTCTGGGGATTCCCCTTGTAGTTCCCAACTCCAAGCAAACCAAGTTTGGGGTAGGGGGATTTCCCAAGTCATCTCTGCCTTGATTTTCTTGGAATTACTTGGGTGGTGGCAGCAGGTCCCCCAAAATCTGGGTATTAGGATTTTGGGGGAAGTTTCTGTACCAGAGCCTGTGGAGGCAAGGTTTTGGGGTGCTCGTGGGCCCCCCACTTCTGCATTCTGTCGTGCCAGAGTGGGGACCGGCCCTGACACCATGCAAAGAGGAGAGGCGGGCTGGATGCGATACACTGGCCTGAAACACCCAATGCCAAAGTTTTCAAACCTTGCTGCTTTGCTCTGACTCCTAATCTACATTAATATAGAGCCTGAATTCGTTAGGAGCTGGGCACCCAAATCAGCTGCTATTCCTGAGCGGTGAGTGCACAGAGCCCGGAGACCTGGCACTCTGTGCTTACCTTTTTGGCACTTGGCTGTTGCCCCATCCCCAGAATCCCACCTGCCCTTGCTCCAGCTCCTCCCGATACCAGGTGGACCTGACCTCACCAATCACGCCAGTCTCCCACCCTGCCAGTGCGCTCTCATGACCAGGGCTCGGCAAGTTCTGGAAAACCCTACTCACCAGACAAAAAGGGACTCGCCACCCTCCCCCCTCAGTTTTTTTTTTAAATGGCATAAATACCTAACAATAACAACAGTAATTACTAATGCGTCCTTAATAAATATCACCCAGGTTTATTAATAAATATCTTATAAACCTCTATCTTTTCCCTCTGCTGCCATGTCTCTTCCTCTTGCTCCATCAGCTCCCCTGGCGCCTGCTGCCCCCCCAACCCCTCACCCTCCACTGCTGTCCTGACTCCTGCCCTTCTCACTGCCCTCAGCCTTCCTGAGACCTGCCCCCCTCCGCCAGCCCTTCTCTCCCCCTTGTGCCCACTTCTTCAGTAGCCCCACTCTGATCAAGTGAGCTACCCCTCCTCATCCCCTCTCCTAACACCTCCTGCCTCTACACACCTGCCCTGCCTCTCCTCTGATGCTGGTCCCTCCCCTGCAGGTGTCTGCCCTTCTGCTTCACCCCCAGACTCTCCTGGCACCTGCACCCTCTTGGTTCCTCCCCCTTCCCTCACTGCCCCTGCCCCCTTTTTCCCTTCATACCCAC